TTTGAGAAATCTTTAAAAAACTTTTTGTTAATATACTATATAAAATTTCTTTAAAAAAAATTAATTTTTTTAAAGGAGATTTTATTTTTATTTTTATTTTTTATTTTACAACTAGCCTCTTTGGGACTAGAGTTTTTATTTAAGTATTAAATCAGGGGTTTGTAGCTGAAGCCTTAAAGGAATCCCTTTATATTAGAGAGTATATTCTAGTCATATCTATGCCTTTTGAGTATCTAATTAAGTAGTTCTATATTACTAAGTTCTATACTAAATGCTGTACCTCTAACCCACTATTACTTGAATTATCTAATTAAACTCTCTATAACACAACTTGTATTTGTATCACTATTACAATTTCATTATATTTGTCAGTCAAGAAGTCCTGAATTTTTGATCTATTCCCTTAGGACTACTTTATCTTTGAGATATTATTGCTAGAACTTTTTATACTATACATGCTGACAAAATTATTTTAGGTTTCAGAATATGAAATTAAAATTTGAAGATGAAATTGTTTTAATCTATTTTATTTAAAAGACAAAATTTTTTGACACTTTTTTTAAAGAGATGAAATTATTAAAAAATATAACTACCTAAATTAGATTTGCTCTTATATATAAAAATTTCTAAATTGCTCTAATAGAGATGAAATAGTGATTTTTTGAAAACCTATTTGGTGGCATATATATTTTATACTTACAATCTGGTTAACCTAGATTCATTAATTTATGCTAAGTTCAAGAACAAGTATTTGTGAGCTAAAACCACTACTGTTACCTACTTCTGCCTTTGTAGAGTTCACTCAAACCTCAGCACTCAAACTATCAACTATACTTTTAGCTTTCCCAAACTTTTTCTATTTGATTTTTTCTTTTTCTGTATGTTAATCCTTTATATAATACCATTAAAAGTCTGTACTATCTCTCTACTTAGGTCTTGCCAAGCAGGCTTTTGTGTACTTCAAACTCCTAAATTTATCTAGTTGTTTCACTCGAAATTCGTGTAATTTATTCATTACACTAATGTTCTACAGCTTACCAATACAAGCTGGTATTACCAAGTCTATAAATCTATTAATCTGTTCTTAAAGAAGATTTTATATACAGTAGTCAATGAATCATTTTTTAAAGATTCTTAAAAATCACCAAGCTAATTTTAATATTTTTATCATTATTAGATGTGTCTTAATAAGCTTTACAACTTTTGTTAGAAGCCTAAAAGTGATTTATTTAGTAAGAAAAAAGTTTTCCTTGGATAAACACCACATTTTCACTTTAAATAATTTATATATAGAACCATGTTATATTATATTATAATCATTCTTTAGTTTACTAAAGAATTATCTATTAAAGTTAATATATAAAAGAAGAAACATTACAACTTCAAAGTTTATAAGTAATTCTATATATTTTTAATAAATATTTTATAGAATAGATGAACAATATAAAAATAAGCTTCAATAATAATTAGTAATCATTAATTTTTTAATAGCAGAGTTGCAAAAATTGCAGAGTTTGTTTATCTATTTTATAGAATATCTTTTTTTTTTTAATATTAAGGTGATTATTTTAAAGTCTGGCTCATTTTATTAAACTTTGAATCGAATGCCAGGGTAATCACATGGGCTACTCCTAACTTTGTTATATTAATGAGGATACATTCTAACCATATCTATGCCTTTGAGCATCTAATTAAGTAGTTCTCTATTATTAAATACTATATTAGATGCTATATCTATAATTTACTATTATTTGAGTTACTCAATTAAACTCTCTAATTAACTTAGTGCTGTCGGATATTCTCTCTAAAGAGAAACTGCCACTAAGGCCCTTAGAACTACTTTATCTTTATAATAAACCTACTAGAGTGGTCCATGTTCCACACATATATCACATAGATTTTCAGTAACTTATACTTAGGCTACGGCCAAGTACTTGTGGCTTTTTATTTCTGCTACTGTTACCTACTCTGTGCCTTTGCAAAGTTCACCCAAACCTCAGTACCCACTTTACAAACTATTAACAGTACTTTAATGCCAACTAATGGTGTCTCAAACTTCTAATCCAGATGGTCCAGAAGAGACCAGTAGGTGTTTCTGATATTCTGAATGAATTCTTTTTCTTTTGGCTGGTTTGGCGGCCTGATTGGTGTAGTGCTTGCCAAACACTCGGTCTTTATTTAGTTTACTGTTAATGTCCAGTTTTCTAGATGATAATCCTTTATGTAATACCATTAAAGATCTATGCTACCTCTCTACTCAGGACTTTCCAAGTGAGTTTCCATATCCTCCGATCTCTTAGATTTATTTGGCTGCTTTACTCAGATTTTGTGTAACTTATACATCACACTAATATATTACAACCTCCCAGTATAAGCTGGTGCAACCAAAGTACAGATGCTTATCTGATCGATATGACATATAGTTTTATTATAATACATTTCCACAAATTCAAATTTCATTATCGATGGAATTTAAACTCTTGTTCTGCTGCTTGGGGTGCAACAACTTACAACTATACTAAGTCACCACACCCTTTATAGAGTATCTTTTTTAATATAATTTTATATACTATATATATAAATTTACTGTATAATATATTGATTGACTAATATATAGTATATAAGTTTAAATATAAAAATATAACAACTTAATAAAATGATAAAGTTGTTATATCTTTAAATAACATGTCTAAGGTTTGAATCTTACTGATAATAAAATTCAAATATTTTATTTTATAATTATTTGGTTACTGTTTTTTGCCAATTGGTTGGATTTAAAATCTATAACCAAGATCATATCAAATATCTAAAAAAATTATCAGATATTTATATATCTATAAATTATATAAGTATACTAAATGATGCAAACATATAATAAATTCTGATAACTATATAGCCAAAAAATTAAAAAAATAAATACTTGCTTAACAAGTTCTAAATAAAGAGTAGTACAAATTTTCAATAATGCTATTAAAATAGGTTACACTCAAGGTTAGTACAACTAAATAAAGACTAGATATTTGACAAGAGTACTTCACCAACTAGATTACTAAAGCATTAATTAAAAAAAAAGATCTGCAAAATAGATATCAGAAGACTGGTATCTCTTCTAAATTATTTAGATTAATAGTTTGATAAGACTAACTAGAGGGTACCAAAAGTAAAAAACTTAAAAGAGAGTATTGGAGTTTAGTAAATTCTATAAGGCAGAAGTAGATAATAGTAACAGAAGTAAAAAATCACAAATACTTGTTTTTGAAAATATAAGTTACCAAAGCTTAGGCTGGCTAAATTGTAGGTATGAAAGGTTCTAGCAGGTTTATCTTAAAGATAAAAGGCTCTCTAAAAAGTATAAGCCTGCTTTAAAATCCTAAATCAGGTGTTTAAAAACAAGAAGGTACAAATGTTCTCACTTGGTTAAAGGGTAATATACATAGACAGAGTTGGTAATGAAGCCAATGGAGCTCAATGGTTGTGTGAATGAAGCACAAAAAACTAGTATTCATTGGCTCCATTCAAAGCTCCATTGGTTCTATTCGCAACTCCATTTGGCTCCATAGAACTCCATTGCCAACCCTGCTTATAGGTATCTGATCTTTTGAGTATCGATTATCAGAAATGGCTTTTTTATCGGTCATAACAGGTTACTGTATCAGTTTTGACAAGATCGGTTTTGGAAGAGTATACTAAAATTTAAAGTCATGTCCAAAAAAGCAAAGTGAAGAATTGGCTAATACAATATAGAGATTGTATCCGTCAAGAAAATCTCTACCCGGGTATTATTAAATTCCGAGTAATTTACAATCTCTACAGTATATATATACTGTATATTGTCATGAAATGAACTTTATAAAACATACGTACGTATACTGTATGTACTATAATAATTACTATATTTTATAAGATTATTTTAAGACAAAAATCCCATGACTTTGAAGTTTTTATACGTATAAAAATCACAATAGAACAACTGTTTAATGTAAAGATAATAGAAATCAAAATTTAAAATTAACAGTAATTTATAACGGTATAAGGAACCAAAAGGTTAATTGCATTAAGAAAGTTTTATGAGCAAATTTACAGTAATGCACCTTATTCTAATGGTTTTAAGTCATTGTAATTCTTCGTGTTCTAGGAAAAATTGCGTATACATGACGTTCAATTTGGTTAAATTATATTCTTCGCAAGCTATTATAATCACATTATCAGGGTCGTTGCGTTATAATTGAGCACTAAATTTTGACCCCTACCCTTACATAATATATAACTTGATATGGTTTGTTTTTGTTGCAGTAGTGCCCCAACGATAATAATAATACAAATAACATTTAAAAAAGGTAGTCACCGCATAACTGTTAACTGTTTTATAGATCGCGCGAGAACCTACAATTTTGTAGAATTTATATAAACAATATGTTTGGCTGTATTGTAGCAGGAAGACTGGTTAGTAAACCGAAAAAAAGTTCAGCACAATCGATAATAATTGTAGTCTAAGAATTAGTAAATTCCGACTAAGGATAGCTTCGCGACGAAATTTTTTCAACACTCAATAAACTATAGTTGAAACTTTTTTTCTTGCGATTCTTCTAACTCACTATTTTATAATTCGTTATATAGATTCAAACTAACCTTCAACAGGTTGATGTTAATAAATATGTATTCGAAATTCCTGACGCCGGAACCGTAAATCACATCGTAGTATTTTTACTTGGTACAGTTCCTTTTGAGCCTGGTTACGCAGCCACTGTACATTTTTTATGGCCAGGAGGCGAACATGGCTGGAAATTGTTGGGCATGTAGGTTTCGAAAGCACGATATAGCATAATATATTAAAAATATTCATAACATTCATCATCAATTTAAGGCTCTCCAACGAGAAACCAAGCGCGATTTTCCGTCTTCGTGGGTCAGTCATTCCTGGAACGACGAATGCATTTACATCATCGAATACATTCTCCTTTGGTTCAACAAAATTGATCACAAATTATAATGCAGACGAAATGTCTATGGACGTTAATGAGTTATCATCGGCCACTACTTCTGTAACAGCAACATTAGGCATTTCTATCGAACCAGTCGCCATGGTGGAATCACAAATTGCAACGCTCCCTCAGACATCTAACCAACCACAAACCAGTAGTGGTTTTGGTGGTATAAGTATAACCCCAGAGCTTATTAGTCAAATAACGCAGAACACACTTCGGAACCTCTATAATTATGCTACATCATTCTCTACATCTTCTACCCCTTTTGGTTCGCAAATAATTGGGACTGGCAATACGTTTATATCAGCGAAAGTGTTCCAGGATTGGTATGAAACTTTCACACGCAAAGTTAAGATTGACCCAAATGTGGTGTTGAAAGACGATAATAATAGTATGAGCTAAACAAAGTAATATTTTTGTAAAAAACGTGAGCCATCTAGTTATAGCAGCATAATCAATCATCTGCCCAACTCTTCTAAAGGTATTTATATAAAATATTGCTGTAAGTGTTTTAATATATGTTCTTTTGTTAGGCTTATAGCTTCTAATCTAATTTTCTGTAAAAACAATGGCTTATATTTAATTTCTCCATTTACATATTGAATTAAATATACGTATTTAGATATCATATCATATCGATTTCATTTCACATCCTCCCTTCCTCGCAATGACATTACCAATTATCTTCTTCATAATCCGCCTTGATTGTTTGGACTATTTAGGAAATTCCGGTACTTTCAATAAGTTCATCTAACTCCTTTTCCAAACAAATGTAATATCTGAAATTAGAGATCAAAAAGAACATGAATGAATTAGATGATGTATGACGCGTGCAATCTCATATATTGCACTTTTTTAAGTTAATAAATTAAAAGGCATGAAATTTATTAATATATATTTACTGATTATAAATAATTTCCTTTCTGTCTTGATTCTTATCTGTTTGGATGACCCAAGGAACTAACAAATTCTACTATTCTTTACCAAATTTGCGATGTGCTTCACTGCCTTGTTCCAAAACCCAAACATAAGAACGTACAACCCAGGTCTTCCAATTCGAGTTCACATATAATATATTTGTTTTTAACATAAAGAAATGGATTTGTCAAATTTTGTCTTTGGATTTAAAAAATCTTAATTGCCCCAAGCTTTCAAGTGTTGTGAAATGATGAATCGGTATCACAAAATCCTATATATTTGTTTAAAATCAACCGATCATATAAGAATATCAACCGGCTGTTTCAGTTGCTACCTTACGTGTATTTTACCAATATTTATTCAACCAATCGATTACAGTGCGCGACATCTAATCACATCCAAAATAATTGATATTTTATAGAATAGAATAACTCAACATAAACCAAAAAAACTTTTTATATTTATATACTGTATAATTCAAAGAATATATTTATAGAAAGCTTTTTTACAATAAACTATTTATTATAATATTATTTTGTTTTAAAGATGTCCTATTTATTAATATAATTAAAATTTTCAGCGTCTATTTATATATAGGAAAATTTCGGAAATACATCGGATTTTTTCGGAAAATCTAGAATATTATGTGCACGAGATTAACATAACCAATCAAATTACAGTATCGAACATCATTAACTATATGCTTACTTACCTAACAACAACATTTGGTAGTACTTATCTTGAATTTTAATTATAAATTTTGATTAAATTTTTCTTAATTTCGATTTTTTTAATTGGCAATTATTATTTATACACTAGTATATAAACATGGGTACATAGAATTAATTTCTTTAGTTTGATTGGCTAATCATTTGATGATGTCATGTGATATGAACAATCGATTAGTTGCAATTATAGTTGGCAACTAATCAATTAGTAAAATATTTATCAACTTGAAACACTATAGCAGCTACTGTCACTTCTTTGACTTAATCATTTATAACTTTTTTGATCCAACTATCTACAACTTCTTTCACAACTTTTTCAACTTAACTACTTACAATGACTTCTTCGATCTAACTATCCACTATATTTTTGATCCAACTATTTATTACTTTATCATCTATTATTTTTTTGATTTAATCATTTATTACTTTTTTAATCCAACCATCTACTACTTTAACAAACTATCTACTACTTCAACCCAATTATTTACTACTTCAACCAAACAATCTACCATTTCAACCAGACAATCCATTATTTTAATCACCTCTTTGATCAGACAATTTATCACTTTAACCAGATAATCCACCATTTTGATCAGACAATTAATCACTTTAACTAGATAATCAAGCATTTCGACTACTCTTTTGATTCAATCATCCATTACTTCGATAACATCTTTGATCCAACCATCACTACTTCAATCTAGCCTACAGTTGTTATTTCTTATTAAAGAATCATTCTTTTTTATTTGCCTTGTTCATCTTGTTCACTACTGAGAACCAGAAGAAGTAAAAGCTGAAGTGGAAGTGGTAAATGAATGAAAACTCTTACTAATTTTGATTTAACAGAAAAAAGTAGAAGACTAGAGAATGATAATTTTTTTTATTATAAAAAAACAAATATTTGAATATATTGATTTATAACTAATATTTATGTTTTATTTACTAATTTTTTTCTTTTTACTTAAATGGTAGCTGAATATATACTGTAATATAGCAATACGGAGTCTTAGTAAAGCTATACTACTTGACTTAATATATAAAAGGGTTAAGAAATGTGTTTGCAAACAAGAAAAGAATAAAATAAATAAAAAAACTAAAAGAGACTTTAAAATAAAATAATAAACTAAAAATAAAGAAAAGATGTGATAGCTCTAATTTTAAAACACAATAAAATACTCAAGAAAAGAGAGAAGAGGCGATGGTTCAACTCAATATACCAAAAATAAATACTCAAAGAAAAAAGAAAAGGTGATGGTTCAACTTTAAATATACAATAAAAATACAATAAAAACTTTATTAAATACAATAAAAAGAAGGTAAGTGATAGTTACACTTCTAAAAAAATAAACCGTAAATAACAAGAAATTAAAAGTAGAGAAGAGACAGTTTGCTCTGCTTTGGGGAAAAAGGCAGGATTTTTATATCTTTTAGATTAGTAAATAACTCAGTTAACAACCTAGTTAACGATCTAGTTAATGATCCAGTTAATGATCCTTTTAACAACCCAGTTAATAATCCTTATAACAACTCAGTTAACAACCTATTTAATAACCCAGTTAACAATCTATTTTACAATTCAGTTAATATACCAGTTAATATACCTATTAACGGGGTCCGTATTATTTCACCGACAATCATTTCACCGACAGCTCATTTAGCCGACATCACGCCAGGTGAAATTTAGTAA